GTGGCTCTCTAAAGTACAATCACTATAGTGGCTCTCTAAAGTGCCTCCTTCTTGTACAATCACTATAGTGGCTCTCTAAAGTGCCTCCTTCTTGTACAATCACTATAGTGGCTCTCTAAAGTGCCTCCTTCTTGTACAATCACTATAGTGGCTCTCTAAAGTGCCTCCTTCTTGTACAATCACTATAGTGGCTCTCTAAAGTGCCTCCTTCTTGTACAACCACTATAGTGGCTCTCTAAAGTACCTCCTTTCTCTACAATCACTATAGTGGCTCTCTAAAGTGCCTCCTTCTTGTACAACCACTATAGTGGCTCTCTAAAGTACCTCCTTTCTCTAAAATCACTATAGTGGCTCTCTAAAGTGCCTCCTTCTTGTACAACCACTATAGTGGCTCTCTAAAGTGCCTCCTTTTTGTGCAACCACTATAGTGGCTCTCTAAAGTATCTCCTTTTTGTACAACCACAATAGTGGCTCTCTAAAATACCTCCTCTCCACAACCACTACAGTGATCATAAACTACAGTGTCCAAAATAGTTAATTCTTTTTCTTCCTGTTTAAAAAGTACCATTATTTTTCCGACATACATTTGTCGAAAGATCACACAGATTTACGGACTTGTTTTTCAACGACTCCTCCGCGTATCCCGAAATTTATTCCAAAGCTCCTGGTCATCGAACAAAAAAACCGTGGCAATGTTTTTGCGGGAAACGGCATTCGCCCTTACTTTCGCTACTATTTTATGAAGCAGTTCTTCGAGACCTACTGACCCATATCCTTAAAAAGTCAAGTGTGACGTTTAGTTCGCATGGACGATACGTCGATCGGGAGGGTGAAATTTAAAAAATTGATTGCCACGATCGTAGCTGAATATTGGCCTCGGTAGAATATTAAGACCCGAACCGACCTTTCAATCGAAGAAACCTTCATTTCGGGCCAATTCTACCAGGAATCGAAAATCGTTACTATCGAATGTCGAGGCATTCACGAAAATCACAGGAAGAAGAAATGAATTCTCTTTAATTCGGTATTTTCAAGTTAAATTATTTTCACGGGGTTAAATTGCCGTGGTTTCAAGCTAAAGCAAGCAGCTGTTCATCTTCCATTTCTCGGAAGAATTTTTCCGCGACAAGACAACGGCATTTGCGTAATTTTGAGCGTCGCTTTTCACGGTTGATGGTATCGCGTGGTCTAGGCGAAACACACCGAGAATAAATTGCGTCCGTTATTCGAGCTGATATTTTTGCATGCAACGTGTAAACCGGTCGCGGCTAGCACGATAACGAATAAATTGATTTTACCGGAGAATTCATGCATAATACGTTTTCCGGTAATGCTCGGTGCACCGCGAACGAATCTGATGAATATGTAAAACAAAAATAAATTAAACGAGTAAGGTTACGTTCCGAGGTCAATTTTAACGGTATCAATTCAGCCGGCATCAATCGAATTATTAGCCCGGAATTGTTACCCCAAAATCATGTGCTTTTTAACTTATCTCCGATATCAAGCTCTGTCTCTGATTTAGAACTCTCTCTCTCTGATTTATCTTTGTTTCGAGCATAGAGTAGTGTGATAGTAGACTGTGGGGGTACGCACCCCCATAAATTAGAACTCTTCGAATTAGAAGTTCTCTATAAGCGACGTAGAGTATGTCAGATGTCGAGGGTTGTCGTTGCAAGAGGTTCGTAAGGTACTCACCTCAGTGTCGTTCCACCACATGTGCAGCCGATAGTTCCTGAGCACGGAGGGATCCTCGTTAATGTGATCGACGGCGAGCTTCACCGAGGGCATAACGCCCCGGCCGATGTGGCTCTCGGGCACGTGGCTGCCGTACGGAAAGAAGCCGGCGATGTAGACGTCCCGTCTCTTCACACCGCCGAGATTGATCGGTTTCTGAGCGGTGATTCCGTTCAAACAGAAGAGGAAAGCGCAGAGGTACGCGGTCGCGAACAGACCACGCCAGCATCGCTGTCGACGTCTCCTCGGTATCGTCGCCATCGTTCGCTCTCTTTCTCTCTCTGTGCCCTCCGAAAACGATCTATCGATTATCGATTGACACTTTTAATTGGCTTTATTATTCCGGGGTTCCGATTACTCGCTAGTAATCTTGCCATCGGTACTATCTCATTGTGCCGGCGTGCATCGAACGCTGCTTAAATTTAATAGAGTCGAGATTTAATTGACTGTATCGTTTCGACCGTGCTTCTCGATCGATTTTTCCAGCGTGCACGTGCGATTAACCATTTCATTCTAACCTCGGCTAACGTTTTAACGCGTCACTCTGCAACATCGTCCGATCGGATTACCGCTTCCCGACGAATATCGTTCGAACCACGTATTTCATGCGTTCGCGTTTCTTCGACGCTTCTACCTCGCACGATCGTAACCTCGTTTCCATCCTATCAATGAACTCCGACAGACTTTATCGGCTCGGTTCGATCGGCTACGGCTTACCGATCTTGCTAACAAAACAGCTTCGACAACGGAACTTAAACTCTGAAAAGCGTAACAACGTTTCAACTCTTCGCTAGATATCATCGATTTTGAGGGGCTTCGAATCAAACCTCCACCTGAAACAGAAAACCATCATTTCATTTGGATGTTCTCCAATTACGTGGATTAATTGGGGAATGGGTTGAACGAGATTCGACGAATTCGTTGATTTACAATTAATTATTTAACCTTCACATGTGATGAAGGTACGTGTTTGTACTGCAACATACATGCTTTTATGTAGCTCAATGAAAACAATGTTATATTATACGTATATTAAATATATTGTACTGACAATGAATATATTTTGAAATCAGATGAAAACGACTTAAAATATATTGTACTGACAATGAGTCTATTCTGAAATTATATGAGAACAGCTCAAAATATATTGTACTGACAAGGAGTCTATTCTGAAATTATATGAGAACAGCTCAAAATATATTGTGCTGACAATGAGTATATTCTGAAATCATATGAGAACAGCTCAAAATATATTACACTGACAATGAGCATATTCTGCAATCACATCTTGTTACTTTTTCTTACTGTCACAAAAATGATGCATCTAAAGGTTAATTCATTTAGAAAGGATTCATGAAAATAATTCATTTAGAAATGATTCATGAAAATAATTCATTTAGAAAGGATTCACAAAAATAATTCATTCAGAAAGAATTCATGAAAATAATTCATTTAGAAATGATTCATGAAAATAATTCATTTAGAAAGGACTCATGAAAATAATTCATTTAGAAATGATTCATGAAAATAATTAATTTACAAAGGATTCATGAAAACAATTCATTTAGAAATGATTCATGAAAATAATTTATTTAGAAAGGATTCACAAAAATAATTCATTCAGAAAGAATTCATGAAAATAATTCATTTAGAAATGATTCATGAAAATAATTTATTTAGAAAGGATTCACAAAAATAATTCATTCAGAAAGAATTCATGAAAATAATTCATTTAGAAAAGATTCATGAAAATAATTCATTCAGAAAGAATTCATAAAAATAATTCATTTAGAAAGGATTCATAAAAATAATTCATTTAGAAAGTATTCATAAAAATAATTCATTTAGAAAGGATTCATGAAAATAATTCATTTAGAAAGGATTCATGTAAATAATTCATTTAGAAAGAATTCATAAAAATAATTCATTCAGAAAGGATTCATGAAAACAATTCATTTAGAAAGAATTCATAAAAATAATTCATTTAGAAAGAATTCATGAAAACAATTCATTCAGAAAGGATTCATGAAAACAATTCATTTAGAAAGTATTCACAAAAATAATTCATTTAAAAATGATTCACAAAAATAATTCATTTAAAAATGATTCACAAAAATAATTCATTTAGAAAGAATTCATCAAAACAGGATTCATCTAATGTCTGTTCCTTTGCATCTGCTTAAAAAATTATGCAAATTCCAGTAGCACGTAACAGCAGTAAGTGAAACAATCGGCAGTATAAAAGTTAGCGAAAGCAACAAAGTCGTTTCTGTGTTGTTTGAGATCGAAATATCGAGCAAATATTTTTCGAAGAAGCAATCAAAAGTTGTCGGTGTTAGCGTAACGGTTCTTTATTTATAGAGGGGAAAAATTCTGGAAGGTACGTTGTCGGAAGTAACGGTGACGTCAAGGTCCACGAAACAGCGGAAATAAAGAAATATCGTTGATACAGCGAGAGCAAAGAACGCGCATAAAGTGCGTGGTCCCGCGTAACGCGATCGATGCTCACGAAAGTAGGTCGACATCAATTTTGCGATTAGTTTTGCAGTAATCGTGAGAGGAACGTTGTTCGAGATCGATTCGTATTGTAAGAGGGAACAGCTGCAAGAACTGTTTTATTTAACTGTTTAATGATTGAAGAGGGAATTGTTTTCCAGTGATGAATTTTATTAATGAAGTTCCTGTTAATTTCTTTAGAAAATCAATCTGGTGTCTCAAATATCAATTTCTGCCAATATCAATCCCTCACAAAATACTTCGATATTTTTTCAGGTGATGTTTAAATCAAAGGAAACTAATATTTCGTCCGAAAACGAGTTTTGTCTCACAGTAAAAATTTAGTAAACGCTTCATTAAAAAATAGAAAACATAGCTCCTTTTTTTCTTATCGTAACTTTCACGCTCGACAAAGGTATTAAGAAACTTGCAGCGGGATATTTTACAGGTTTTTTGCCGATGACTCTAACGAAGTTCTTTCATTAAAGCTAAGTGCTCGCGGTACGTCGCGACCGCGTCTGTTCGACCAGTTATCGAGTAATACTACTTACCGCGAGCCGCTAACGAGTTAGTTATGCTTATGCGGATGAACGTTCGCTTTCTAACTTGCCTGACGAGTGTAAGGCTGACCAATGCTGCTTTGAGTGAAATTCAAATATTTAGGAATACTCTTCTAGCTTCGAAAGTTTCTAGTTTCTAGTTTTCGGAAGCTGCGGAGTCTCAGGGTTGTTTTATGACGTCGATACTCTGGGTTATACAAGGTGTTTAACTAATGTAATTCGCTGAGGTGGTGAAGTTTGTGATTCTGAACAATTTTTCCCTTTACGAAAATTGGATTTGAAGCTTCGTTTCTGAGTTATTAAGAAAAAACTAATCAGAGCGCGATTGCGCACGCGCAGTCGCTAGGTTTGAGCTCTCGCGTCTGCGCATGCGCTGGTTCGAAGCTCTCGCGCTTGCGCATGCGCTGATTCGAAGCTGTCGCGTCTGCGCATGCGTACTCGCGTTCTGATTGTTTTTCCTTAATAATTCAGAAACGAAGCTTCAGATCGCATTTTTGCAAAGGGAAAAGTTGTTCAGAATCTCAAACCACACAATCCTGGATAGTTAGACAGCCTGTATAGTGTTATACTCTACTGTTACTGATATTAAACTGTTGATTGATTCAACTATTACACTGTTACTATGTTCTTATCACTCTTATAATGTACTCTTAATGTACTCTGCTACTACACTGTTGCTTGATTCAACTATTACACTAATACTATGTTCGTATCACTCTTATAATGTATTCTTAATGTACTCTGCTACTATACTGTTGCTTGATTCAACTATTACACTGATACTACGTTCTTATCACTCTTATAATGTATTCTTAATGAACTCTGTTACTATACTATTGCTTGATTCAACTATTACACTAATACTACGTTCTTATCACTCTTATAATGTATTCTTAATGTACTCTGCTACTACACTGTTGCTTGATTCAACTATTATACTGATACTGCGTTCTTATCACTCTTATAATGTATTCTTAATGAACTCTGCTACTACACTGTTGCTTGATTCAACTATTACACTGATACTATGTTCGTATCACTCTTATAATGTACTCTTAATGTACTCTGCTACAACACTGTTGCTTGATTCAACTATTACACTGATACTACGTTCTTATCACTCTTATAATGTACTCTTAATGTACTCTGCTACTACACTGTTGTTTGATTCAACTATTACACTGATACTGTGTTCTTATCACTCTTATAATGTATTCTTAATGAACTCTGCTACTACACTGTTGCTTGATTCAACTATTACACTGATACTACGTTCTTATCACTCTTATAACGTACTCTAAAGTATCAGAATCAACTACATAGATTCAGAATCAGCTATCTCATTTCAGGGAAACTAACGAGACACCCTGTATCTGAGATTTCTCGAGTAACGAACAAGAAATCAGCGTGACTAGTTAATCCAGGTAGTTAATAAAGTTTAGAATCCCTTCCGAAGGGCGAAAAGAGTTCAAGAGCCGAGAAATGGGACGAGATAGAGAAGTTTTGGATCAGTTTGCTGAAAGATCGTACTTGACCGGGACACTCGAGTCGATGAACTTCGGATGATCGTAAAGTTAAGTGTCTGGAACCTCTAAACCTTAAGTACCCAATTACAATAGCACCAGCTGCCGATAACGCTCTCCTTACAGCGGACGACATTGTTCCCTCCGGAAGACGCTTGTTTCGATCGATGTTGATGGATCGAGCATAAATCAGTCTCGTAATTAACGCAAATACTGCATTAGCAAATTGTCGCAAATTGCAATGCAAATTCCGAGCAAATTGTTAGGAAATTCCAAGTTCAAATCGCTTTCTTCCGAACAGTTATCGTAGCCGATAGCTTCTTATCGTATGACCGCGTTAATTTAGCGCGCGGCCGAATGCGAACCGTCGCGTAAGTTCTTGCGGTTACAATGGTCAAACGGAGCGTAGGTAATTAGCTACTGTTACAGAGTTAATTACGTAAAGAGGTAATTAACGAACGATCCACGGAACGCGAGACGGTTGAACGAATTTTCGTTGGTTTTGCCACGGAAATTTCCCTTTTTCTTTTTCCTCCTCTTTCCCACCAGGTTTCGGTCTTTTCTCGCGGGTCTCTTCCTATCTGACCAATTACCTGTTTTCCGTCTCTACCGAGCTCTCCTTTGCCCAGTTTCTCTGCTTTTTTAATAGCTTCTTTAATAATTCATCCCGCTTTTCCGTAGTCTTCGTGGTCGCGTTCCTTTAAAAGCTTCTTCTTGATTCCTCGTTCGCGACCATTCCCTTGTTCTTCCTTCACAGAGTTTGCTCGCTCAGACTCTCTCGTTTTTCACGCGCGTTCGCCTTTCCGCGAACATTCTCAAGTTTGTTCGAATCAAAGGATTCAAAGTTGAAAAGTAGACGTTTCGTATTCAACGGACTCTCTTTTTTAAGAAACTCGCCTCGACGAGGTGCGACGTTGATTTAATCGATTCCACTGCGACGGACTTCGAGAATCTCGCGCAGACATTTTGACGTTCCTTTCACAGCCGAAGTAGCTCTTCGTACCTAATTTTTCACGTTTGCTTTTCTCGTTCGAGTGTTCTTCCCACAAATCCTCGAACATTCGAATCGACGTTAATTCCCTGCGGTTTCTTAAACGCAGTCGGTGAAAATTTCCGGAAGTCGAGATAGGCGGATCGATGAGCGGGCTCAGGATTTACACCCAACGGTCAGACACTCCGGGTTGATGGACCGTGTCAGTCTGTCAAGTGTAGTAGCATTGGTTAACGTTCGAGCTTGATCGGGTTAACCAGCTG